TGTGTGTGCTAACTTCAATGATCAATTACTAAATTATAGCAATGAATAAAGTCGGTTTCAATTTTTCTATCTTTGGTATTGATCAAAGCCTTGTCTATTTTATTATTCAAAAACAATGTGCAATTATATATTATCTTTAAGATATAAAGCAACCCAAACTGCTTCATCTACTTGTGATTAAAAATTAATCAAAATAATGTTATGAATGCAACTATTATGAAGTACACAATAAATCTGTGAAAACTTGAAATATGTTTAATGAAGTTCAGGCCCATAAAATATTAGCGTTCTTTTCAGAAACAAAAAACAGTGATTCCTATCTATTTAAAATAAACTGGAGCCAAGCAAGACTGGAAATTACGAAGCTCAGCAATCTGCAGTGCTGCCACGTGTCCCTCTGCATCCAGACAACAACAACATTATCGGGAATGAAAGCTTATTCATTTGTTCATCATCATGAAGAAACATGACTCCCAGTCTTGCGTAAAATGTGAGTTAACTAAAATCAAGCTATTATCTTCAGTTTAGCACTTTACCACTGCTGGAGCTGTCATTTGCAACTCGTACTTCTTACGAACATTTAATCAGGATAATATATATCGAAGTTATAAATGAACAATTACGTGAACTTTTCATGACTGAGAATGGCCGGAGCATGGTGGTCAGCTGATAATTAGAGAAGGTTTACACATTGTGCAGCGAGGAAATTAATCATAAAAATCCAGAACAGTTTCAGCATTTAATCGGGGGCACTGAGATCTCATGTTTTCTAGTGTCTCATCAAAAATCAAATTGTATCTGTTCCTTCAGAAGTTAGTGCCAAGGGAACAGCATCAGAGAGACAGAGAGGAGAAGTGAAAGGTAAATGATGGGCAGATGCCCCCCCATCTCACTATAGCGGGATTGGCAGGAAGTTGGAAGTGGGTGGTGAACCTACTCTCTCAATGGCTTAAAAATGAGGAAATAACAAAAAGAAATTGATTTTCTTTTGCTTTGAACAGGTTAGTGCTGGCAGATGGTGCTGTCTCACACTGCGCAACAAACTAATGTGTTTTCTCTATTAATGACTTTGTAACTGTCAGTATTCCTGCCCACAGGACCCTGGTGACTTGCAATAGCATCATGCCACTTAGTTTGCAATTTCCAAAATTTCTTTGTGATTAACTGTCCCCGTTTCCTTCAGAAAAGCATTTCTGCAATTATTGTACTCTTCTATTAATCATTATTCTCGTTCAGATTCATATCTTATTACATATTAACCATATCCCTTACATAAAACCTACCTATTATGGAAGCTGGTGGTCTTCTGTCATTTTACTAAGCTTTACAAAATTTCTTTCTTCAGCTTCCTACACTTGTGAACAGAATTGCACTCCTTGAGTGAATGCAGTGCTGTTTATTTTACTGCCTTTGTGTGATTTTCTTTCCATAAATACGATGTAATAGGTTTTCCAAATCAGTTATGAAATATACCACGCTAATGTAAAAATTATCCTGCTGCAGAATGTGGACTGTCACTGCTTATCCACCAGATCATACCAGGTATGGACAGACTGTTTTATGAAGAAAGGCTGAGCAGATTGAACCTATACTTGTTGGAATATAGAAGAATCAGAGATGACCTTATTGAAACATGCAAGGTTCTTAGAGGATGTGACAGGGTAGATGAAGAAAGGCTGTTTCCCCTTGTGGGAGAATCTAGGACTAGAAGGCAGAACTTCAGATGAAGGGGTTGCACATTTAAGAGATGATGATGAATATCTTCTGTGTGAATCTGTAGAATTCTTTACCACAGAGGGCTGTTGGGGCTGGGTCATTAAGTATATTCAAGGCTGAGATAGACAGATTTTTTAATCAGTAAGGGAATCAAGAGATATGGGGATAAGGCAGGAAAGTGGAGTTGAGGCATATCAGATCAGACATGATTTTAATGAACAGCAGAGCAGACTCAATGGGCTGAATGGCCTACTTCTGCTTAAACAACTATAAGACAGCTCATTGTTAGTGTTTAGCTTTAGGCAATGCATGAAGCTGGTTGCAAACACTTGTGTTGTAAAATGCACAGGTTTTATTCCTGACATTGATCAAAGGCCATACCCATTACAAATAATTCCATTTACTTTGACTGGCATTGTGTTCTCCCTTCCAATCAGGGAGGGCACAAAGCCAAGGTTGTCACTGTTTCCATTACTCAAAGTTACAGTGAAAACTTCAATAACATCAATTATGAAAGTATTTGTCTGAAACAAAAAGTTTGTGTTTGCTTAAATGGAATAAATATACTAACGTTGATCCAGAACTATTCAAGAGTTTATAAAGTTTACTTTGCAGTCAAACCTTTGTTTCTCTGTATTGAAACAAATCCGAAGCCCCATGCAGAGATGATGGAGCGCTGCAGCACTCGAGTACTTGGAATATCAGTGCAGAGGGTTGGACTTGTAATTTTCCATGTGATTAGCTTCCAATTTCAGTAATGATCGGGAGATGATGAGATGGAGATGAATAGCTCTGGTGTGCCCTTACACCCTTTATAATCAGTTAAGAGCTAAAGTATGCCTCAGATGAAATTGCTTACAATCTCAGACTTAGAAATCTAGTGGGGTAGGACTGTTACCCCACAGTCGTAGTGTCACCACCCCTGAGCTGAGAGACCCAGGTTCAAGTCCCACTTGCTCTGCAGGTGTGTAATAACACTCTAAACAGGCTGATTAGGAAAATATAGAAACCTAACAGACGGCTTTTGTAGTGCAGTGGTAGTGTCTCTGCCTCTGAGCTAGAAGGCCTGGGTTCAAGTCCCACCTTGTCCCAGAGGTGTGTCACAGCATGTCCAAACAGTTTGGCTAAAAATAACAAAAATCTACAATAAGCCCTTTATGGTACAGCAGTGGTGTCTCTATCTCTGAGCCAGGAGGCCTATGTTCAAGTCCCATCTGCTCCAGAGGTATGCACTAATATGACTGAACAGGCTGATCAAAAATATCTTGAAATCTAGCAATAAGTTCCTTTAAAATCAACAAAGCTGACAGCTTTGCATTTAAGACTGTTCAGATAATGAGGGTTGGTCTGAAATGGGACATTTAATGTAACCTGCAGCATCAGCCATTGTTCTCACTCCCTCCTTTCTAGGTGGCAAATGTTAAAGTGTAGAAAGCATAATCCACTCCACCTTAGAAATTACTGCATAAGATGGGCACACCAAAAGCACTGACATTTTTCTAGTGGATTTTGGTAACATACTTCTCAGCAAGAATAGAATGGCCTTAGATACTTGGCTGCATTTTCCAGTACAATGTACCCCATTATAGTCACTCTTGAAAGCATTACATGTAACGTAAATTTAAAATGAAGCGACTTTTACACCTGTTTTCCCATACACACTTGACAGTATTTTCTGCAACTGCAGCACAAATCGAGCTCCCATGTCTGTAGCTCCTTTCTGCGCTGTGGGAAGGCAGCATCAGGTGGGACAAACACACACAATGCTGGAGAAACTCAGCATCAGACTCGACATGCCATCTCTCCTTCAGATATAGCAAGAACAGCAGATGCTGGAGTCAGAGATACAGATCTGCCGAGTTTCTCCAGCATTCTGTTAGCTCCTAGCATCCTGAAGAACTTTGCTCTTTACTCGAGTGACAGGTGGGAAGAGTTTTCCAGATGGAGGGGCGTATTGGTGAAAGAAACTCTCTGTAGCTTTGAGATTCGGGTGTGAGCTGACATCACTGAAACAAACCATTAGAAATGAGATCTACATGAAAAATCACAATATTCTGAACGGTTTCCTTTTATATGCTGATATAACTGCGATGCATTTCCAGTATTTTTTCTGTTTTTAACATGATGAAATCGATACTTATCGCAGGCACTGAGTGTGAGCGAGCATAACACAACAGGAACGTTTAATCAAATCCACAGCATGTCCACTTTTTTAAAAGGGGGTAATCCACTGATCTGATTGGCTGCATTAGTGTTGAGCGCAGCTCTTCAACTGATCTGATTGGGTTTGAAGATGTCAATCAATAAATATAGCTGATTTCGAAACGCAGCCAAGTTGACAATTAGAGAGATGTTGTTAACTTTAGAAATATTAATCATTTACACGTTAGTACTTGTGAATGCTTTCAATTGTGTTGAAATCTAAAGTATAAGACAAAAACAGAAACAGATTGTAAAGCAAAAAAATCCCTATGGGCAGAAATATATCGATAGAGAACCCATCCAGAAATTGCTATAAAACACCTACAATAAATTATACAAATATCACCTAGTCGCAAAGACACAATGTGATAAAATGCCCAGTGTTCGCTTCAAAGAGCAAAGAATAAGTTGAAGCCATCAAACTGCGTGCAGATGAAGAATCAGGTGAATTCCATTTTTCAAACTAATGGACAGGTAGAAGCACAGAAGATGGTGTAGGGACAGTGTAGTGTAGGATTGGCCATTTATGGAAAATAAAAATAAGCCCCGATTGAGCTGGGCTCACAGAACACCCCACAGGGACGTGGTTCAATGATTGATGTCTTACTGTGCCTGTCCCGCCCTTCTCCCTTTAGGGGATTCACTGAAAGAACACACCTTAATAAAAAAAACATACAACTGACCCAACTTCTGCCGTGTAATGGTTTTTAAATCGCTCGTAGAAAATCTTTGACTTAAAGAGCGCGGTTGGTAGTTCACTTCCACGGTAATGTGAGACAAAACACTACTACACATTACCTGCACGACACCATTAGCCAACGGAGCCACACAACTTCGCCTTTGGGAGGGGGGTGGGGTGAGTGATGAGAGGGTCCCAGACGTTGCTCACTTGTCACTCAGTGCTGCCGCTGCTGCCTGAGGCTCGGGGTTGGGGAAACCGCAGTTCACGCCCTGTTCTGATTGACAGGCCGGCGGGCCTGGCTCTGTGTGAGGAGGGGGCGGGACTGCTCTCTCTCTCTCTCGGCTGCCTCTGGTTCCCCCCCTTCATCCCTCCCTCCCTCTTTCTGTGTGTGTGTGTGTTCGCTGGAGCTAGAGGGGGAGAGCGGGAGGATCCGGCTCACACAGCCAGAGCCGGGTCCCCTCTTACCCTCCGTATGCCAGGCTAGCCCTCCCCCCTCGCCGCTTTGGAGTGCAGCCTGTATATATTTTACTGAGCGGCGCTCTCCGGAGATGATGCTCGGCTCTTGACGCCGCTGAACACGCGTTGCTGACTGGAATTTGTGCTATTTAATCCTCTCACCCCTCCCACCTTCCTTTCTTGTTGTATGATGGGGAAAGAGCAGGAACTTCTGGACGCAGCTCGGATTGGGAATGTAGCGGTGGTGGAAAAATTGCTAAGTGGCAAAAAAGGATTATTAGGAAGTGGATCGAGCTCCATCCCACTGTCCAGCCTGCTGAGGTGAGTTAGAGAGATCTCCAGCCTGTTTTCTTCAGACCCGTGCGAGAGTGTGTATTTCATTACAGGTTGGGCTAGTAACCAGAACGGATACAAACACTTCACCCAGACTTCAGAACTGTGAGAGGTGATGTGACCCTTTCATTTTATATCCAGGTTCATTCTGTTTTGGAACACTGTACAGCGTTAAGTCAGCTTTTAAAATGTGAAATGCCTTGTTTTGTTCTATTGCTTAATTATTATCGATTGTATGCAAGCCAGTTAATACCTTTATATCCCCAATGAAAGAAATCCTGCTGAAAGAAATCTCCAGTCAGCTTTGTACTTTTGACGTGAGTGTAGCTCCGAGATGGTCATGTTTACAGCAGGGTTAGTGTTGGTACAGGTGCTAAGGTGATGAAATGTTAACGTGTCGAAATGTAAACCAGCCAAAACACAAAAAGTTGGAGAATCTGTGCTCTGAGTTTATGTTGTCACGATATTTATCACTTCGAAACTATAGAGTTCCATGAGATTCCCCCCCCCCCCAAAATGTTCGGACGCTTGTTGTCCCTGGACTGTATATTGCTGTGACATTAGACCACCGAAAGGTAAACAGGGGGCAGGAATCTCAAATAGTAAGGTCGGGGGTGGCGATGATGGGCACTAGGACCAGGATATGGAGTAGGACCATCGTGGTAAAAAATGCAAGCTCCAGGAGGATAGAGGTTTGCGGTTACACACTCAAAACATAACTGGAAAATGAAACGTTTCTTTTTCATAAACGAATAACGTGAAGGATCAGAGGTTTGTGTTCACATTCACTTCTAGTATTGCAATGGGCTTAGAGCGGAGCTTCTATCTTGGTCTTGAAAGGCGACTTTGTGTTTGGGATGGGAGGGAACAGGACAAAGCCAGATGCACAGGGAGGGAATTCCTCCTGGCGGCGGCGGCTTGTATTTCATCTGTTGGACAATGAGAGGGATGGGACACATTGTAACCAGTTCGGAGCTTTGTCATTCGGAGCTGCCTGTCGCCTGTGTGGGTCCATTGGAAAGCCGTACTCGCTGTTTGTTCGGAATCTCAGTTCTCCAACATCCTCGTTCCCTATTAATGTGGTGAATGGCTCTCGATTGACCAAGAGGGCGACGAAACCACATTAACAGGAACCGGGTGCTGCACCTAAAGTTTAACTTGCTGGACGTCTGTGGGTTTTGTTGGAACAACACTATATGACTCACTGACTTTTTAAACCAAGAAACGACGTTTCAAAAACGACCAACGGGACAGATCCCTTTCTTTACAAGAGAAAGTCCTCTTATGTGCATAACATGGCGTTGGTTCAGCGACAGTGCTGCTGGATGTTTGGAATAGCTGGAATAGCTCAATTGTCTGGGACGCTGGTAGTTTACAGATGAACCAAAGCCGTATAACAGGCTCCATCATCCCACGGCAATGAGGGTCATTTCCGACACACCTGGCTACTGCTGAGTGACATTCATTTTGATGGATAGCTGTTGAGCCTCTGTAAGCTGGGAGAAACTAATGGTATTTAAAACTGTGCTATAAACAAATATTGTTTCTGAAATTCTGTGTGCGTCTGATATAAATAAACTGGCCTATGATTTCAAATGTCTATTTATGAATTTACATGGTTGTGAGCCAAGTAGTATTCCTGGAACTGGGGAGTAACTGTCAGTGCAGGCATTTAAATGTAAAGGTTGACATATTTCAATATTTAGTGCTTCTGAAAGGAAAGAAGAATTCCATTATTGACTTACTTAATCATTCTGGATAGGATACATACACTTACAAGGAGGTTTGAAGTACAAATACATTGTTGGTAATCTATAACTTTTAAGTGACTGTGTTAATTACACAGGAAGTTAAATCATCATGTGCATTATTATGGTTTGTCTTTCAGTGATTATGTGGAGGATAATATTTATCCAGAAGTAGTACTAGGTCAGTAACTTTGTCCAGGACCATCCTGATGATATGATGAAAAATGCTCAAGAATTTCACAGCAAACATCTAGACCCAGAACGATGCTGTAGTTTTAAAACCAGCACCACCTAGTCATCAGCATTGAGAACCTGGGAAATAGAGAAGTGATTCAATATTAACTCAGTGGATAACATGAAATATAGAAGGATAGCCTTCTAGCTTGCTTTGAACAATAAGGAAGTTTCAGGCATCTGAACATAGAAGAATTAATAAATAAGCAGGTTACTCAGTCTGTCTGCCTCTTGGATGACCAGCTTTTATTGCATCGCTTCTAGAAGTGTTAGAAATGTGGACAGTATTCAAGTCTTGGACAGAGTTGGACTTGGTGTGCAGCTGAGACACTATAGCTGGTATGGAGGCATTGCTTGTGGTGAAGATGATATAGGAGATCCACTTGACATAGAGGCAATTGAGCAAAAGAAATGCCAACAGTTGAGGGAAATAAGAGTCAAGTTTTGGATTTTAATTTCATTTAAAAGATTGGAAGCAATTTTGAAGATTTGCAAGTCGAATGTTACTTTGTTCAGAGTGCACCAATATTAGGAATCATGGATATTGAAGGTGATTCAAAATAGAAAGCAGAGAAAACAATGGAGGACCCACAATAAATGAAAGTGGTGAAATCATCATGATTTATCATGATTCAAATGGAAAAAAGATTTGAAGTAAGTTTTGATCTGACAAAGCAGCTTCCTAAACCTGTGCATCACTGCCAGCCAGTAAGTAACAAATAGTACCAATGTACTTTACTATACACTGAGAGGAATTGCATTTTTATAGCAACCAGTTATAGTATGTAGTGTTTCACAAACAATATATGATTGTTTTGTGTTGGAAATGTTTTTTCAGCCAACGGTGTTTGCTGAAATCCTGTGAAGAGTAAATTATATCAATAATTGGTTATTTTCTTCAGTCCTGGTCACATGGCTGAAGACAGAATGCTGGTTAGGACAATGGAAGGACCTACTGGCTATGCAAAAAATGCTTTTTGATATTTCAGGCTTAGACTTTTTAACCAAAATGTAACATTTCCGACAGTACATCATTTCCTCAGTACTGCACTGAAATATCAGCTCAAAGAGGAACTTTAACCTACAATTTTGATAGGTGCTAGTGTGAGGGTTATGTACTAACTGATCTAAATTTGTATTTGAATTGTCAGCATCTGTCGTCCAATTTATCTTTGTAACTGTAGATATTTATGACAGTTATAAATGTTTTATATAAGTAACATCTTGACTAGTACAGGGTGGGGAGGCAGTGAACATATTGGTGCAATAGGAGCAATGCTTTACTTTGAAGTTTGGGAAAATGCTTGGGAGATTTTTGTCAGATTGCTTCATCTGAGTGCTCAATGCAGATAGTGAAAAAAAATGTAGAAAAACATGTTATCTTCCATTGCTGACATCCATCAACATGATGAGCACCACCATTTACCCCAACCTTCTGACCCCTTCCGAATAAAATTTCTTGCCTTTACCAAGCCTGCTGTTTTAATTGGATCAGCAGAAGGCGGGGATTCCTAATAGAAATCTCCTCCTTTCAACCTGAACAAGTATTATCTCAGAAAATATTCCAGTGTCTGTGGCAGATGTGTTGTTGGAGGCTTAAAACCTTATTTTGTTCTAAATCTGTCCTTAGGATAGGTACACCTAATCTGATTTTAAAATTTGCAGTATGAAACCAATTAAGCACAATCACACACTGAGGTAACAATGCTCAGTTTTATTTCAACACAAATATTTAATTTTCTGCAAATACAATGGAGATAATTTTGTATGTTTTTCTTAAAAATCTGCACCATACTAATCTGCTCAGATTGTAAACACTGAAATTTGACACACTTGGTGTACATTTATAATTTGACTGTTAATTTTCATTTACCCAGATCCCACATAATCACTTTAAGGTTTGGGAAAATGAAAAACAACAATATTTTGTACTGTTTAAGCCTAAATAAAGATAGAAGATATTTTGGTATGGAATAGGAGTGTAGGAAATTGGAGCAGGAGCAGGCCATTCAACCTATTGAGCCAGAACTGCCATTCAGTTCAATCATAGCTGATCTTCTACCTCAGCGTCATTTTTCTCTCAATCCTATATCCCTTGATATCTTTTAATATCTAACAGTCTATTGATCTCTGACTTCAATATACTCAGTTGTTGAGCCTGATGGATGCAATAAAGCAGTCATTATGATGCTAAATTAGTAATTCAGAGGCTGGAATAATAATATGGAGATGAGTTCAAATCTATTATGGAGGTTGGGAATTTGAATTCTGTTTTTTGATAACACCTTTGCTAATTAAAGGGCGAATATCAGTAAAGGTGTCCATGAAGCTGTTGACATTGGTACCCAGCAGGCCAAGCAGCATCAAAGGAGCAGGAAGGCTGACGTTTCGGGCCTAGATCATTCTTCAGAAGGGTCTAGGCTTGAAACATCAGCCTTCCTGCTCCTCTGATGCTGCTTGGCCTGCTGCGTTCATCCAGCTCTACACCTTGTTATCTCAGATTCTCCAGCATCTGCAGTTCTTACTATCTCTGACATTGGTACCCAACCTGTTAATGAACTTCTCTCTAGTGTCCCTACCTACCTCTCCAGCATGCATGTCTAGGCTCAGAACTGTAATGTATTTGACTTTTATTTTCCCTCTGAAATGATCTAACAATCTACTCACATATTACTTTACTGTTTAAAAAAGATATCCGAATTAAATGAATACACCATCCAGCGCTGAGCTGAGCAACAATGTTTGACATGGTAAAGGCAGGTTCTAAGCCCAGTTCTCCTGCAAATCCTAATTCCTTGATGTCCAAAAGATTGTTAATTAGCTTGAGGGAAGACTTGTACCCGCTTGGCAAGGAGGTCCCATGTCAGAAAGCTGCTGGCTGATCAAATAGCTGGCAGCTGCCTGGTTGCGATAGCGCCTCTGGGAGTGGAGCCCATAGTTGGGACTGCAGCAAGTTCCCAAAAGAACCAAGCTGCAATCAAACTGGACTTCAAGGCAAGTTCAGGG